ACAGCTGAGCTCCACTCCTCCACCCACCTCTATCCACCTTTTTCCGGCTCTTTAAGACTTCCCCGACCCGAATTATGAGGGCTTGTAGAAAATGCTGTACACTTCAGAGCGCGCCCCGCCCATTCGGGCCTCCGCCCACGTCATGTATGCAGGAAACACCTTAGACATTGTTACACCAAATTGTTTTCTGCTCTGTAGGCTTTCTCCCAACCGAGTTATGAAATTTTTCATAAAGCACTGCTTTTTTAGAGAACGCCCCGCCCACCGGGGTGGGTCTCCCTAATTCGATGTGACTTACCAATGCACACCTTTACCCACTTTTTGGCCCAGTTTCGAGGCTGTTTTGTCACTGAATTTGAAATCTTGGTCGTCAGTACAGTTCATTTCGATGCACGCCACGCCCACTGTGGGCGGGGCTCCGCTTAGCTGATGTGTGTTTTGTACTTCGTGAGACCTTGCCCACCCATCCCACACTTGACCCGGTCCCTCCAGGCGGATCCCGAGGAGCTAGGGAATTTCGTGACAGACATACAGACAGACGACAGACGACAGACGACAGACGAAGCGCTTTATAGTAAGTAGGATATAGTTAGTAGGATAGTGGCAAATAATGTATTGTAGCCTACAAAGAATGACAGACGTCAGCCAATACAAAAGTGTTTTTTCTCTTCAACAACCCTGGTACCACTTATTCCTAAAGTGTGAGGAATGAAAGGCCATTAATTGCTGCTCCAGTCCTCTTCTTTTCTATAATTTGGGGGATCGTCACCTATGCAGTTATTTTGGAAACATTTTTGAGAGCAATGATGTGCAATCTGTTTGGAGTCAGCTGAAAAGCTCGTGATAAATACTTCTATGAGAAAATCTTTCGAAGAGAATGAGAAAAAGATTCTTCTGTCGTTTCTAAAACTTATTGAAAGTCCACACCAAGAGGTTCTCAAAATTAGAAATTGCGATCAAAACTACTTTGTTTTGTAAATTCATAATGTAGTCTGCAATGGAAAGGAAGGCAAAGTTAGTTGTCAACGCTTATTTCGATTACCCTGCGACTACAAACATGCCCAACAGCCATGAGAAATGTCGTAAAGTCGTGCGAGTAATCAAATCCAATCAGACCAAGCCAGGTGATACTGCTCATAACACGCTTCTGAACAGCCCACGGATCTTTCACCACTCGCCTGTTCATTGGTTCATTGGAGTAGTTTGTCTCTTGCATATTTCGAGAACCTTCTTTTACCGTATCAGTCACATACATTGGGCAAAAGCACTCTAGCTCAAACTTATGTATCTATTGCCAGGGTGAATCTATTCATGGAGGTTTTTGCTTCTAGTAGCAGCATAAAACGTTTCTCCACCTCCACTTCACGAAACGTAATCTACCCTAACCCAACCTGCGTAACATACTTTTGCACACTTTTGTTTGCTTGGCCTCCACATTTTCACTGATTAATATATCCGCGAGGGAATAATTTCAACGGTTACCAAAGGATGAAAGATGCTTCTTCATGAATTAGTAGTCCATCAATAAAAACTTCTTTTCAAAATTTGATGTATTATGCAAAATCCCGTGAAAGGAACTCTTAACTCACACTACTTACGTAATGTAAAATAGATGGTCAATTATGCGATTCGGTACAATAGTATGGTATGCGTAATCCGCGTCCTAAGGCACGCTTTTGCCCATTATATGGAGGGACCTCACTTTGGCTAGACGAAGTTTCAAAGAATTCCCAAAATTTCTGGACTAAAATGCTTCGTGGTTTGCTAGGAAATTTTCAGTGTTTTACCTCTTTCTGATTTATCTAAAGTAATTTTATGAATCGAATAAAAAACCAAAGACATACATATGTATTTATCCCAAGACCAGCTTATCAGGAGTTGAAGTGACAGTGGATTCTGTATGAGGAGAGATTTTAGGTTCGTTCAGGTACCTTCTAGGGAGTGTTGCTTGGCCGCCTTCTGGGTCATGATTTTACCTATCTGTTAGCATTATGTCAAACTACATTTAAGATCATTGCTAGTCAAGTTGAGGATATCGTAAAGTAGGACTCTCATGTCCAAGTCGCCTTCACATTTCCTTCATTTAACATCCTTGCTCAAAAAATAATTGCAAAATCGGAGAGATCCAAGTGGTCAATGTGGCTATTTGCCATGCGGGATGCTGATAAATGTGCTTTGAGAAACTGTGCTCGAATCTGGTCCAGAAACTCGTGAAGTTGAAATCGAAAGCTGGCCCTTCGGATATAAGAAACATGATTGCAAGCCATTCGATTTACAGAAACACAATTACAAGAACCCCACTTTTGAGGCTAAAAAAGCATTCTCATGCAAGCAAGGATTTCATTTTTCGCACCTTCCAACGCTCGTTTATAGATGTCTGAATTAATAAATTGCAATGAGTTCACAAGCTTAGGCACTACTGTCTTACTCACGATTGCTCCACGTTTCGAACTCAAGTCAAAAATTCAACGTTGCTAGGCTCTTGTTCAAAGGGTCATATGGTCGTCCGAGCAAAATTCACACTTGTTTGCCACAAGAAGACTGTCGCATGTCCTGCGTCGACATTCATGGGATTGTGTGTGAATATATGAGGAACTGGGTGAAAATGTAGTTTGAGGGGGCCACTCATAATATCTAATCGAACTGGCAATATCTAATCGAAGTGGAGCTGCGGAAGGGCGGTCATATCTAATCACCATCCAGACACAGTCTCTGAATGTATGATTAGATAGGAGATTCCATACAAAATCGGATACCTGAAAGGTCCTCTCTTCGAGGGCTCGCATGGCAGTCGCAAGAAGGGAAAGTGAAGAGCCAGCAAGGTAGCAGCCATTTTAGCCATAGAATAATATGACAAGGGTAAGCGTAACGGTCTCAGTGAAAGATATGATAAGATATAAGTGCCTTCCCGCAGCTCTACTTTGATTAGATATGTGTGTCTTTCCGCAACTCCACCTCGATTAGATAGGGTCCCCCAACTACATTTTCACCGAGTAACTGCTTGCAATCCTTCACACAGTTAACTATAGGCGAGTGTTGATGGAGTGACGATGTTGGTAGTTTTGTAGCGATGTTTGTGAGAAGAGCATAATGGCTCGCCACGGAATCGAGCTAATTCCACCTGCTCTCGCCTGTGAGTCAAGATGTGTACCGCTGCGCTCTCTTGCTTCATACCTTGGGGTGTGGGGGGTTGGGGAAAGGGAGTGGATTGTTCCACAGATCCCTCACGAAGTCTTGAGCTCAGCATTCTAAAGCGCCTTCATTGGTACACACCTCACTGCAAGTGGCGGAGGGATCAGTTGACCTTCTTTGTTCCCTTGTTAGCAAACTTGTTAGGCTCCAGTAACAGCCTTCAGAAGTAAAAATGAACCCAAGTTTTCCACTTATCGCTTACCCATTCTCTACTCTGAAAGACTGCAAAAAAAGGATCTGGGCAGAGTATTATGTCCTGAAATATCACCCTGGAGATCAAGCTTTAAAATTACTTTTCTGAAACAACACTTTGGGAAGAATTTCTGCTTTTCAAATCCTTCACTTTTCCTTGTGCCTCTGTTTTACAATTGAACATAAAACTCACCTATAACAAATTTTGAATTCGTTTACATATTACTTTCAAATCGTAATTAATTTTATATTAGAGGCAGCCTGGATGGGTAAGTTGTTTATTGGAGGGATGAACGGAGCCCAAATGGAGCAGGCCGAGGTTCAAGCGGCGGAAGGACGTCTGAAAGAGGACATGCGACTCTATCGCATGGTTGACCTGCATGGTGGAGGAGAGATGATGACGATAATGAGGTAGGAGAATAAGAGGGATCTTCAAGACATTTCCAAACAAACGTTCCATTTTCAGGCACGCTAAGGCAACCAAAGACTACTCTTTCCTGGACAACTATATAAAAACACGGATGCCTGAATTCCTGTTGAACAATGAGAAGGGCAAGCTTTTCGCTGTCACGGAACTGGTTGCTCTACGCAATAAGGTGTGTTGTGAGACCAAAGATGGCATAGGGGCCGATTTTCTCCTGCACGAACTTGTCGCAAGTGCGCCTGAGGCGAATACCCATTGGTGTGCGCTTGTGGGAACGCGCGTTTGTGAGAACACTGCTCGCACCGGCATATATCGCTTTCGGCCACGAAAAAAAGGAAATTATGAATTCCCTGTTCCTGGATCCACCAACCATCTAATCGATCTCTATACACTATTAGCCGCTATTTTCCCTTTTCTTCAGGAGTGCCAATTTTTGACTCACTTTTGATGTTGTGAGATAGGGAGCTCCTTTCTCACAAACCTTTCTTAAAGATGCTCCATCCTCAGCCCTGAGTCCTAAAAATTCTCAAAAGCTTATGCACGATCGCTTGGCCAAAGATCTGACCCAACTTCACGCACTGCAGGTTCGTCCAAACTATTTTAACTTTACACGACTCCTTTTTCCAGGAACGAAACGCAAAACTGGGTGCCTTTCTGCGTAAGAAAGGAAAGGGAAAAGCAGCTGTGAATGTTCTCGAAGGATTTGATCAGAACGATGCAAAGACTGGAGATCTCAAGAAGGGTGAGTTCTCGATCGCTTAGAGTTGGACCATTTCACAAACGCTTTTCATTTTAGCCCTCAAACTTCTTGATGGAGGAGGGAAAGGTGGAAAATCAGAATCGAAGTACCGCGAGTTGAACTGGAAACTTGAAGAAAGAGGTGAGCTTCTTCCATTTTCCCCAGCATTTCCCAACCAGTGGCATCATTGGACAATCTTAGAGATGCTATCAGCTCGGCTATGCAGCATTTATCAGCTGGCTTATTTGAAGACAGCTTTTCAATGATATTCCGCTGATTCGCTTCAAAATGAACCACGAGCTCAAATTGTTACCGTGAAGTCTTGAATAGTAATGAAGAGTGACGACGTCGCTACAGTTGCATTACGATCATGCTGTTCTTTGTCAAAATTGTGGTACCGATAAGGAGTGACGGTGATTCTCCTCGATTGAAGGCGGAGTTTATGATTAGAAAGTATCCAGAATTGAGGTAGAGGTGATCAATGGTGCCAAGATGAAGAATAAACCTGAGAAATGGCGATGAACCCGGAGGTCGGGCTCGATCTTTTCCTACCCGTTCGTTTCCACATTGATGCGACTCTTATCGGTGCTGCATTCTTCAACGCATAGCTGTCTCTCTGCTAAATGGCTAGAGACGAGAGAC